CCCTACACTGAGGGACTGACAGGGATCAATGTGACACCTCCCTGGGACGGGGGAGAGAGAAGGGCCCTGAACTGGAGGCGGCAGCCAGGCGAGGAGTCCCAGGACTGCTCTCCAGGACGCGGCGCTGCCTTTCTGCCTGTCATGGTGGGTCCCTAAGTGCCTAAGACTGAGGAGTTTCCAATGGGTGCTTGGCTGTTGGGACTCTCTGAACCACAGGAAACCTGTGAAGAGCGCCCCCAGAGGATGCGTGGGAGGCTGCTGTGTCCCAGCATCCTGGGGCGTTAAGGGGTCCTGAATTCCACTCTAGTTCCCAATACCCTGCTCCTCAGTTCCACCTGGGACCTCCTCATGATGGCCTTTGCTCTCCCGATTCCACCATTCTAAACACAACGACTTGAGTAATCTCCGAGAAGTTGCAGGCTTTCCTTACTATCCCTCTCCAATTCTGAGACCTTACAGTAATTCAGGCTTTTCTAGGCTGCTCCTCCAAACTTTTCCAGCCTCTGACCGTTACCCAGTTCCAAAGCCACTTCCCCATTTTCAGGTATTGTTCACAGTGGCACCCAACTTCCCCGGTACCAAGTTTCTGTCTCAGTTGTTTCCTGCCGCTGTAACAGAATACCGAAGACTGGGCAATTTATAATGGACAGAAACGTACTTGTTCTGGAGGCTGGGGAGTCCCAGACTGGAGGGCTACATGTGGCTGTCATAACAGAGTGGAGAAAGAGAGCCAGAGTGGGGGTGGGGGTGAAGTGGGGGTGCAGTGGGGGTGAGGCCAGTTGCCTATTATAGCTGGATAATGGCATTAAACAATTACCCCCTAAAGGCCCCATCTCCCAACTTTTTTTTTTTTTTGAGAGGGATTTTTGCTACAGGGTGCGTGTGCTCGCCAGACAGAGAATATGAGACAGAGAGACAGAAAGCAAGAAATCACCCCCCCAGGGGGGATGACCACGCCGCAATCCCTTCTCCTCCATTCTCCTCTCAGGATCTTGGGCACACACGCACACGTGCCCAGCGTGAGTTTAAGCCACCGGGTCC